AAGGTATAGGTTATTATTATTTTTGCAGCACTGGTGTTAATGGCACTAGTGCAGTCTGTGATCAGAAGATTTCCAAATTCTTTGAATCCCACTGGGAAGAATCCATGGCAGGACACATGGGTGTAAATGGAGTTTATTAAAAGTTAGGGAAGGGAAATACAAAGGGAAGCAAGGTGGGGCCCAGGTGGAAGCTGAGAGAGTGTGTTTCTGCACTTCAGGTGCTTTTAACCTATGGGAAAGGAGAAGAAAGAGATTCCTACCCAATAATTAATGATTGGGGAGGGCATGGCATGGGCAGTTCACAGCCAGGTGAGGGTGGTTCCTGAGCTAAAGCATGGCTAATCTAAGATGTAATATTTTTCTACGAGTTCCTAATTTGGCTTGCCTCACAGGGATTTGAACTCAGGGCCTCGCACTTGCTAGGCAAGTGCTCTACCATTTGAGCAACACAGCCAGCCCTTTTTTATGATGGTTTTTTTGAGATAGGGTCTTGAGAACTATTTGCCTGGGGCTGCCTTCTATCGGAAATCCTCCTGATCTCTGCCTCCTGAGCAGCTAGGATTACAGGCATGAACCACCAGCAACCAGCTCTCTGAATCTTTGAAAACAAAGTTATGTTAGTCAGACTAGCTATTTTTCCCACCCACATTCTGGGCTGTTGTCCCCCTTAGTTAACCCTCTCTGAAATACCTTCATAGACACACCCAGAGGTGTGCTTTACTATTTTCCTAAGTGCTCCTTAATCCAATCAAGTTGACAAGTCAATATTAACCATCAAAAAACTGGGATGCAGCTCAGTGGTAGAGTGTTTGCCTAGCATGTGCAAAGCTCTGGGTTCAACTTCAAGAACTGAAAAAAAAAATTAATCATCACAGTGGTTTATCTGATATTCAAATTTAACTGGTCATTGTATATTTAACTGGCAACTCTGTCCTATAGAAATATGCAACAGTGAATTTACCAAACCTACTTGATAGATATCGAATGATACACATTACATGAGTTGATTCTGCTAGTTTTTTTTTTTTTTTTGTGGTACTGGAGTTTGAACTCAGGGCCTACGCCTTGAGCCACTTTTTTGTGATAGGTTTTTTTTGAGATAGGGTCTGTTGAGCTCTTTGCCCTGTCTGGTTTTAACCGAAATCCTCCTGATCTCTGCCTCCTGAGTAGGCAGGTTGTAAATACCTAAGAGTGACTGAAAGCCTGGTGCTGGTGGCTCACGCCTGTAATCCTAGCTACTCAGGAGGCAGGGATCAGAAGGATCACAGTCTGAAGACAGCTCGAGGCAAATAGTTCTTGAGACCCTATCTCAAAAAAAAAAAACCAAAAAAAAAAAACAGAGCTGGTGGAATGGCTCAAGTGGTAGGATGCCTGCCTAACAAGCCTAGTAAACTGAGGCCTTGAGTTCAAGCTCCAGTACTGAAGAAAAAAAAAAAAAGACTGAAAAATAGAGATGTGTTATGGAGTAGGTTGCAAATATGCTTTTTTTGTGGTACTGGGGTTTGAACTCAGGTAATTGCACTTGTTAGGCAGGTCTCTAGCATTTGAGCCATACCTCTGGCAATATTGTGAATCCCCGCCCCCGCCCCCATAGGTCTGGAGGGCTTCCCTTTTGCAAGTAGGCACTCTGTCAGTTGAGTCACGTGTCTAGTCCATTTTACTATGGTTATTTTGGAGATCGGGGAGTCTCAAGAACTTTTTGCCCAGGCTGGCCTCCTGATCTCAGCCTCCCAAGTAGCTAGGATTACAGGCATGAGCCCCTGATACACAGCTAACATTGTGGTTTTGTGTGTGTGTGTGAGCGTGTATGTGGTTCTGGGGTTTGAACTCAAGGCCTACACCTTGAACCACTCCACCAACCCTTATTTGTGATGGGCTTTTTTGACATAGGGTCTTGAAAACTATTTGCCCAGGATGGCCTCAAACCTCGATCTTCCTGATCTCTGCCTCCTGAGTAGCTACGATTATATGCATGAGCCACTGTTGCCCAGCTAACATAAATTTTTAAGATACCACAAAGAACCTTGGGGGGTGGTATGCGCCTTTATCCCCAACACTCAGGAAACTGAGGTGGGAGGGTCACTTGATCCCAGTGTTGGAGACCAGCCTGGGTAACCTAGTGAGACTTTGTCTCAAGAGAAAAGAAAAAAGAAAAAGCCAGACAGGAGTTCAAGGGCATTTTAGGTAAGCACTTATGATTTTAACCTTAGACCTAAGATAATGAGGATAAAGAACTTTCTCGGTTATCTGAGATATCAGGAAAAGTGTGAGAATCAATACTTTAAAAGATACTAGGGCTTGTGAGCAGAGCAAGGTGGATATATCCTTTAGAACTTGGAGGTAAAGTCACACTATGAATTTATATATGTATATATTTATAAACATATATATTCACACACACGATATAGATACACATATATATGTATGTATATATGAATCAAGGGCCAACCTAGAAAAGAGAAAACACTCAAAGTATTTAAAGCAGAAGGAATTTAATCCAGAGAACTGGTTTATTTAGGCATTGGCAGAAATAATAAACCAAGCAGAGGATGGTGAGATAGCCTAGAGATAAGTGATAGTAGGAAGTCAATGCCATTCTTACACTGGAGGGATAGCCTAGAGATAAGTGATAGTAGGAAGTCAATGCCATTCTTACACTGGAGGGATAGGACACCTTGTTACCAGAGCCCAGGCACTGGTTTCATCTTCTTGAAGTTAGAGCCAGGTAGGTCAGAAGAGACAGCCTGATGTGGAGGGCTGGGGTAGGAATGGATACTCTGGCTTAGGAGTAGAGTGAGAATATGGGATATTCTCTTTTTCTCTTGTTCTTTCCAATTTTTCAGATAATGCCTCACATAGATGAAGGCCAGAAACTCAAGCTAGAGTCCAACAACACAGGAGTCCAGGTCATGCAGCCTTCCTGGGGCCTGCCTTCCACTGCCATTCTGCAGAGAGTAGGAGAAATATAAGGGATGAAACTGAAACAGCTTAGAGGAAAAGAAGGAAAAAGTAAAAACGTAACCAATGAGTCCATGTCCTTGAGGAGAATCAGCTCAGGATGTCAGGACAAAGATTGGGTTTTAGAGGAACCACCTTAAGGCCCAGACATTTTCTCTAAAGTGTTATTTATAGCTAGTTTGTCCAAACTAGGATCTAACTCTGCACCAGACACTATATCTAGTTATTATGTCTCTTAAAACCAATTTAATCTAGTTGGATGTGGTGGCACATGCACATATCCTTATATTTGGGTGTAGGAGGTAACTGGATTCCAAATTCCAAGCCAGTCTTGGAGACATAGGGATAACCTACTTCAAAAATAATTTAAAAATTAATCTAAAATGACATTTTTGGATGCTGGTGGCTCATGCCTGTAATCCTAGATACTAAGGAGGCAGAGGTCAGGAGGATCACGGTTCAAAGCCAGCCCAGGCAAATAGTTCAGAAGACCCTATCTCGAAAAAACCCATCACAAAGAAGAGCTGGTGGAGTGGCTCAAGATGTAGGCCCTGAGTTCAAACCCAGGTGTTGCAAAATAAAATAAAATAAATTAAAATGACATATTTTCTTGACTTGGTAAAAGCTCAGTTTGCTCATCTGAAATGAGAATAGGATTACTGAGTGGGTTATAGTAATACTTTTTAAGTGCTGAGGACATAGTAAACCTTCAAATAAAACAGCAATTATTTTTGTTACCGTTACATGCTGGTGTCCAGGGTCCTTACCTTCACGGCCAGAGAACTGGCTCATGAGGCAGCTGAATGCTGAGCCAAAGCTGGTGTATAAAGTAAGATTTATTAGAGAGAAAGGAAAGGCCACAGCTAAGGTACTGCAGCGGAGGCGGAAGCTGGTGGCTGGCTGCTCAGGTGAAGGCTGGGGTTTTTATGGACGTTTTAACTCTGGATTAGGTGGGTTTTTCTCATTGGCCAGGGATTCACGGGCTTTCTCAGGTGAACTGGTTTGGTTAGCACCTTTCTTGGGGGAAGGGAACAATCTTGAGAGCATTTTCTCATCAGCCCTGTGGCAGATCTGTATCTCTCCTTTAGGATGCAGGAATGCAGGCCTCCATCTCCTCAGGATGTTGGAATGATATTGCTCTCCATGGGGAGATGGGGGATGGGGTACTCACTCATCTGCCTTGGGTCTCCAGACCCAATAGTTACAACTCCATTATCAGAGAATGTGGGGTAGAAGAAGAAAAAGCTCATTCTGCTGAGTTTCCTACTTCTCTTTTCTAGGAGGGAGGCAGGCCATTTTGATGTTTGATAGTCTTACTGCTAGAAGTTGTACATCAGTTTTTTTTCCTACGAAATAACTACTGTTTGTGGTAGGCAAACAGATTGCACTAAACACATTTAATTCTATCTTAACGCCCCACAAGTAAGAATTCTTACCCATACTATTCAGAGAGGATACTGAGACTCAAAACAAATAACTTGCCCCTAGCAAGCCAGGAAGCAGTGAGATAAATCTTGAAACTGGGGACTCTACCTTCTAGGATTAAGGATACTCGAAAAAGACATGATGTATAAAGTGGCTTGCATTTGCCTTTATTGCTTTACGAAATTTATCAATTGTCAGTTGTCGCCTCCTAGTAGGTTCTGTCTTCTTTAAAGTTCAGCTACCCTCTTCTGTTTCATTTTCTTCCCATAGCACTTCCAGCTAAGCTACTACACATTGCTTTTATGTTTTATTTTACTTCTAGTGAATTATTTATGAGGACAGGATTTTGTCTGTTTTCTCAGCATTTGTAGCAGTGCCGGTAAAAAGCAGGGATCCATTGATATTTGTGGAAAGAATGCCTAACGCGCTTTGGATAGCATAAAGAATCAAGACGAAGCGAGTGTGGATTGAACCTCATAGGGACCCATAGCCTTCCCCTTCCCGCCCTTCCGTAGGTGAGGGGAAGAGCAGGAATAGTCCCGCCCCCGCCGGGCTATTGACATCTAGGGCTTCTAAAGTGGTCGCACTTGTTTCGTAGTCCACGGCGCCGGCGCTTCCTGTGTACGCCACTTCCGGGTGGCGCGGAACGGAGCGCAACGGCCTGCAGAGCAACATGCCCAAGTGAGTGGGGGCTTAAAATCTGAAGGGCAGATGGTGGTTACTTGGAGCCCCATGAAGCGAACGGAGGGCGGACTCTGGTTCTTGAACCCTCTGGGGAAAGGCGAGGATACGGGGGAGGAGGAGGGTTGTAGAGGGGGGTTCTAGACAGCCTTCTGAGTGTGGAGGTTGCTCCCGCTTAAGGCAGCAGAAAAAGCCTTGTTTTTGGCGGAACGCTGTGTTTGAAGCTTTGGAATAGGGAGTAGTTCGTGGTTTTTTTCCTTCTTCTTTTTTTTTTAACAGTCAAAGAAAAGCGCTTCCGTAGATGAACAGCTATTAACTAGGTGACATCTTTGTCTCTCTTCCACCTCTTTTCAGGTTTTATTGTGACTACTGCGACACATACCTCACCCATGACTCCGTAAGTAGCATATCTTGTCATAGTTTTAAGAAGTCTTACATGTAATAGTAAAAATTTTTTTAAGGTGCAAGTTTGTGCTTTTCAACCTGCTGAAATTTAAGATCTTCTGTTTAGAGAATGTAGTTGAAGCATTTATTTTTCCATCGTTCCTTAACTGTCTTCATAATTAGGACATTTGCAGCAGACAGTGCTTTCACCCAGAATAGTAAAACCTTAGCAAGTGTTTTTTTTTTTTTCCTTTTTTTCTTGTTCTTTTTTTTTACCTTAGCAAGTTTGAAGGTGAAAAAAACTGTAATCCCAGCACCCACAAGGCTAAGGCAGGAGGAACAAAGGTTGGAGGCTAGCCTGGGCCGTCTAGTGAGACCCTGTCTGAAAAAAACAAAAGCAGAAATCACTGATGTGTCTTGTACCTTAAGTGGATCTTTTACTATGCATGATTTTGTAATATATATTGGTCATTTGGAAAATGCTTGTTCAGTGAGCTATGCGGATTCTCAAGTGTGGACACTTTTGCTATTAAAAAGTCACGCTCATTAAAGTAAAAATCTAGTCAGAACTGACTTTTAAGTGTTGGGAAGCTGCAAAGCTATGGTAGCAGAAAAGATTTTCTGAAATTCTAATTTTTGCTCAAAAGCCTTTTTTTTTTTGGTGGGTCTGGGGTTTGAACTCGGGTTTGCTCTTACAAAGTAGGTGCTATAATGCTTAAAGCACACTTCCAGTTCATTTTGCTCTGATTATTTTGGAGATGGAATCTCAGGAACTATTTGCCTCTGTTGGCCTGGAACCACAATCCTCCTGATCTCAGCCTCTCAAGTGACTAGGATTATAGGTATGAGCTCCTGGCTCCTGGCTTGAAAGCTCAAATTTTATCATTGAAAACAGATACTATCAATTTCTTTCCTTGAGGTAACAGGCTTTCTGTGTGTGTGTGTGTGTGTAACCCCCAGCCACTTTATTCATTTTGAAAGTTATAAATAAAAATGGTGCCTGCGTGTGTGTGTGTAACCCCCAGCCACTTCATTCATTTTGAAAGTTATAAATAAAAATGGTGCCTGCGCCTGTAATCCGGAGGCACTGATCAGGAGGATGGCGGATCAAAGTCGGCCTAGGCAAATAGTTCATCATACCCTATCTCGAAAAAAACCAATCACACAAAACGTCTGGTTAAATGGCTCAAGGTGAAGGCTCTGAGTTCAAACCCCAGTACTGCAAAAATATATAAATAAATAAATGTGTTCTGGCAAAGAGGCAGCTGGTAGAGCTCACAACTATAACAATTGCATGCCTGCTTTGTACATCTTTCCATTTTGTCACCCAGAAAAATAAACAATATGAACTAGAAGGGTTGAGATTTAATAAAATATTAATAATTCATGTTTCATTAAGGATGTTTTTAGTGAAACTGACTTATTCCTCTGTATAGGAGGTTGAAAAATACAGTAATCACTGCCTCAATTAATTGTAAGCTACCAGTTTGGCTTCATTAGTGTAAACATCAGTACAATAAAAAAAAGTAATTTCCTAGCTGGGTGCTGGTGGCTGATTCCTGTAATCCCAGCTACTCAGGAGGCAGAGATCAGGAAGATTGTGGTTTAAGGCCAGCCCAGGGAAAATAGTTCATGAGATCTATCTCAAAAAACCCTATTACAAAAAAGAACTGGTGGAGTGGCTTAAGCTGTATGCCCTGAGTTCAAACCCCAGTATCATCCTTCACCGCCCCCCACACACAAAAATAAAATTTGGGGTATGGAGTTTGATCACTGCTCTGCAGGTACTTTGCCACTTGAGCCACATCACCAGCCCCCCAAATCAGAACTCTTGATCACCTGGAAGAACGTAGTTAATGATTTTTATGTTGTCACTTTATTTGACTCTAGGGTTGGGGATGCAGCTTGGTGATAGAGTGCCTGGCTAGCTTGCACAAGGCCCTGGGTTAAATCCCCAGTCACAAAAAAGTAAAATAAAAACAGCAAAAACAAAAATTAGTGTTACTGGTTTGAAAACTTTTTATGAAAGGGATTTGCAATGTATACTCTATATGTGTCTGACTTGCTCAATATAATGTTTTCTTTTTTTTTTTTTTCTATTTTGGTGGGACTGGGGTTTGAACCCAGGGCTTCATGGTTGCAAAGCAGGTGCTCTACTGCTTGTGCCACACCTCCACTTCATTTTGTTATTCAGGGATGGGGTCTTGTAACTATTTGCCTGGACTGGTTTGAACCATGATCCTCTTGATCTCAGCCTCCCAAGTAGGTAGGATTGCAAGTGTGAGCCACCTGCACCCAGCTCAGTATAATATTTATTAGAATCATGCATGTTGCAGGTAATAGTGATTTGTTCTAAGTAGTATTCCATTCTACTATGCACATAATGTTTTTATTAACATTTTTTGGGGGTTTATAACATGTCAATTATATTTGAATAAAGCTGTTAAGGACAAAAGAACTAGTGAACTAGAGACAAAAGTCTGTAGGTAATATTTATATAATCTGTACTCCAGACTTAGTCATTTGAAATAATGTATTCTCATAATATTTTGGGGGGGGGTAATACTGGGGCTTGAACTCAGAGCCTACACCTTGAGCCATTCCACCAACCCTTTTTCGTAAATGGTTTTTTCGAGATAGGGTCTTGAACTATTTGCCAGGGTTGGCTTCGAATGGCAATCCTCCTGATATCTGCCTCCTGAGTAGCTAAGATTATAGGTGTGAGCCACTGGCTACTGGCTCTCATAATAATATTAAATGCATGTAAGCTGTATTATTTTGCCATGGGATAACCTAAGAAGCAGCAAGAAATGGCAGTGTGGTTTTTTTCTTAAATGCCAGATTATAGTTATTGTAGGTTTGTGGTCACACACTTTGCTGTAATCTCTCAATTCTACCATCGTAGAAAAGCCATAGAGAATAGATAAGTGAGTAAATACGTTTGGTGGGGCTGAGTGTGTAGCCCAGGGTAGAGCACGTGTCTAGAATGTGGGAGGCCCTGGGTTCCATCCCCAGAACTGGGGGAAAAAGAGATATTCCAGTACTTCTTTAACAACAACAACAACAACAAAAAAACAGTTGGCCTGCTCATGAACCATAATATATTGCAGGATAATGTTTTTATATATATGTCTGTCTGTTTGTCTTTATTTATTATTATTATTTTTTGGTTAAATATGGCGTTTTTTGGGTTTTTTTAAATTCATTTATTCACATGTGCATACATTGTTTGGGTAATTTCTCCCCCGTGTCTATCTTTATAAATGATGCGTTAGCATGTAGCTAAAGCTAGTCAAGATACCCCTGTAAAGGTAAAGCTTCATAAACTTCTGGAAATTTGTGTCTGATTTGACTTTTTTGTTTCATAGCCATCTGTGAGAAAGACACACTGCAGTGGTAGGAAACACAAAGAGAATGTGAAAGACTACTATCAGAAATGGATGGAAGAGCAGGCTCAGAGCCTGATTGACAAAACAAGTATGTTTCATTCTCTGGTCTCATGTGATAGAATGGTCCCATTCTTTATCGTCCCTGTCTCCTTTGTTGTTTTTCACAGAAGCAAACTCATTTTCAATGATAAATAGGGACATTTGTTCTTGTTGAATGAAAGAAGTGGAAGGTTATTGGTTTCCCAGGAATATAGGAACACAATATTAATTATTATTATAATTAATGGGATAGAACATTAGACATAGAATAATCAACTCTTAGAAACTAACTTATATGGTAAAATAGTCTATTTTGGACCCTTGTACATGGTGTTTTTTTGTTTTTGTTTTTTTCTTAAATAGGAACATTTTGTGTTCTGGCTAGTTGGGTTCAAGGTCCTTACAGAAGATGTTGCATTTTTACTTTAAAGTATAAAGATAATTTTAATAAATGGACCTCCTGTACATCTTCCCCACCCCCAAATTTCCTATCACTCAGCTTCAACAGTTTATACCAAGTTCTCAAACCCTTAGCAGTATTGACATTTAGGACCTTATAATTCTTTGTTGTGGTGGTCTGCCCTGTGCATTGTTAGATGTTAAGCAACAGTCTCCAGTTTGAACTACTGTTAAAATTGTCTCCTGGTATGGGGGTGTCGTGCATGCCAAATTGCCCCTAATGGATGTTAAGATGTTAGAAATTTCTTGGCATTAAAAGATTAGCAATATATTCTCTTTAGGTGGTTTTTTTTTTTTTTTGGAGGGGTGGGCAGGTACTCGGTGGCTTGTTTTTTTTTTTTGCGGTACTGGGGTTTGAACCAAGGGCCTACACCTTGAGCCAACAGCCCTTTTTTGTGATGGGTTTTCTTGAGATAGGTTCTTGCGAACTATTTGCACAGGGTGGCTTCTGACCGAGATCCTCCTGATCTCTGCCTCTTGAGTACCTAGGATTACAGGTGTGAGCCACCAGCACCTGGCTTGGTACTGGGGTTTTCATTGAGACTTCACACTTGTGAAGCAGATACTCTGCTTGAACTGTAGTTTGAGCTATACCTCCAGTCTTTTTTTTTTTTTTTTTTTTTTTTGCGATACTGGGGTTTGAACTCAGGACCTATACCTTACTCCACTAACACTTTTTTTTTTAGTGGTTTTTTTTTTTCAGGATAGGGTCTTGTGAACTATTTGCCTGGGCTGGCTTTGAACCATGATCCTCATGCTTCTGCCTCCTGAGTAGCTAGGATTACAGTTGTGAGCCACCATTGCCTGGTTTGTTTTGTTTTTTGAGACAGGATCTCACTTTGTAGCCTAGGCTGGTGTTGAACTTGTGATTCTCAGCCTACTGAGTGCTGAGATTACAGGTGTGTGCCACTACTTGTATCTTCTGAACTATTTGCCTGGGCGGCTTTTGAACCATGATCCTCATGCTTCTGCCTCCTGAGTAGCTAGGATTACAGTTGTGAGCCACCATTGCTGGTTGTTTGTTTTTGAGACAGGATCTCACTTTGTAGCCTAGGCTGGTGTTGAACTTGTGATTCTCAGCCTACTGAGTGCTGAGATTACAGGTGTGTGCCACTACTTGTATCTTCTGGTTGTTTTTCATATGTTGCAAAAGAATTTAGAATAAGTAAATTTTTAAAAATTTATTATTATTTTTGTGGTACTGTGGCTTGATCTCTGAGCCTTCACCTTGAGCCACTCCACCAGCCCTATTTTTGTGAAGGGTTTTTCAAGATGGAGTCTCAAGAACTATTTGCCAGGGTTCTGTGATCCTCCTGATCTCTGCCTCTTTAGTAGCTAGGATTACAGGCCTGAGGCACTGGGATCCGATTTTAAATGATCTTGTTTTGTTGTTTTTACTTTGCTTCACATGGTCTGAAAGTTGATTATATGTTTGTATGTTTGTTTGTTTGTGTTTAAGATAGGTCTTAACTGTGTTGCCCACACTGGTCTCAAACTCCTGAGCTCAAGTGATCCTGCCTCAGCCTCCAGTGCTGGGATTAGGCATGCTTTACCGTGCCTTGTCTCATAGTTGTTTTGGCCATATTATATATTAAGTAAAAATGGTTTAAAAGCACCTATTAAATGCATAAATTTTAGAAAAACTTTCAAAACCTAAATTAGTAAGACAATTAATTGCACTTTTTGCAGGTGAATACCTAAAAGTGGTTTAAAAAATTAGTGCCATGATGTAGTAACTGGATTGCTTGCTAGAGTGAAGTAATTGTGACCATTAATGATTTAAAAGAAAGTGGTTATTTTAGTCAGTGTGGTTGAATTCTTATTCATTGCTTTTTTCTTTTTTCACCCTATTTCAAAGCGGCTGCATTTCAACAAGGGAAGATACCTCCAACTCCATTCTCTGCTCCTCCTCCTGCAGGGGCAATGATCCCACCTCCTCCCAGTCTCCGTAAGTTAATCTCACAGTTGACTTTCAAATGCTTGTTGAGTGAATATGTAGCTAGTAAAAGAAAACAACTTCAGTGGGCATGGTGTGTGACACAAGTGGTAAAGTGCTTGCCTAGTAAGCACAAGGCCTGGAGTTCAAAACCTGAGTACAACCCCCCACTCCTTCACCCCCCCAAAAAAATGAAAGAATAAAAACAACTTTAGTTGTAGTATAGAAGTAAATTTATTTTTTTTTTTCCAGTCCTGGGGCTTGAACTCAGGGCCTACACCTTGAGCAACTCTGCCAGCCCTTTTTTATGATGGGTTTTTCAAGATAGGGTTTCTCAAACTATTTGCCCAAGCCGGGATCCTCCTTAACTCTGCCTCCTGAGTAGCTAGGATTACAGGTGTGAGCCGCCAGTGCCTAGCTACTTGGATTTATTTATTTATTTTGAAACAGTGTTAAATTATGCAGTCCAGGCTAGCCTAAAATCACAATATTCCTTCCTCAGCCTCCCAAGTTGCTGAGATTACAGGTGTGCATCAGCATGCACATGGAAACTTAACTTCATTTTCTATTTCTCTCTAGCCAAGCTTATTCTTGCCTTTTCGTCACAAAGTAATTAGAATTTTATGGCATGTGATTTTTGTAGTTTTACCATTTTAAAAACAAGCCATAAGAAGTCTGTCATTTCAGAATTTGAACCAATTCACTCTTAGTTTCATTAAGGACAGAAACTGTCAACATACAAGAATAGTTTAACTGCGAGCTCCATTCTTTATCTTAGCGGGTCCTCCTCGCCCAGGTATGATGCCAGCACCCCACATGGGCGGCCCTCCCATGATGCCAATGATGGGTCCTCCTCCTCCTGGGATGATGCCAGTGGGACCTGGTAAGTTGAAATGCCTTTCCTTTTGCTGTGCACCATTGTGACTGTTCTCCAGTTAAGTGGAAATCTTAATTAGCTGTCTAAATATGTTATTAGAAGTAATGTAACAAATTAAATTTGACAACCTTTAGTGATAAAGAAAAAAATACTTGGTTTATCAGTATAATCGGATGGTATCGATGGTCTTTTGCTATTGAAAGTAGGATGCGGTTGCCTTTGTGTTTCTTATTTCTCCCTCCTGTTTTCTTGCCTCATGGTGACTTTGGGTCACTTAAGGTGAAGAGAAGGGGTAGATAAGTTTGTCCATTTTGGGGGGAGTAGAGGGAAGAGTATATGCTTTATTAACTTTGATTTGCCACAGAGCTGCCTCCTGTTGCATATTTAATCATACAAGTTAACTAGGCCCAGTTAGTATGCTAAAAAGGAGTTAGGCCTGGTATTTAGTTTTTTATTTAGGGAACAAGAAAAAAAAATACATATATATGTCAATATTTTCTTTTCTTTTCAATTTAATTAAAATTTTTTGGGGGGCTGGCCGAGTGGCTCAAGCAGTAAGAGTGCCTGCCTAGCAAGCATAAGCCCTGAGTTCAAACTCCAGTGCTGCCAAAAACAAAAAATTTTTTTTTGGAACTGGGGTTTTGGAGCCAGGGCCTCGTGCACACCTAAGCACCTGCTTCACCACTGAGCTTCGCACATGTTCTTTTTACAATGACAATGACGACAAATAAATTATTATTATTATTATTTTGGCAGTGCAGGGGATCACACCCAAGCCCATGCTAGGCAAGTGCTCTCCCACCCCCATTTTTAGAAATGTAAATATAAATGAACATTATTTTGCACATCTTTTTGATACATGGACAGGACTTTTGCTTTGAGATAGTCTACTGATTGGAGCACCATATATTTCTTGCCTAAACCAGTGCCTGTAGCCATAATCATGCATCCTCTACCATCTTTAGCTTCATTTTCTTTGAAGTGGTTAGAAATCTTGTGATGCAAATTAGTTCGTCTTTTTTTTTTTTTTTTTTTCTTTTTTTGCGGTGCTGAGCCTCATGAATATTAGGTAAGTGCTGTGTCACTGAGCTACATTCCCTGTCTTGTTCCAATCTTTTATGGTTGTTTTGCCTACCAAATTTCCGAGCATTTTGGGGGGATGGTTTGCCTAAGTCTTCCTAACCTATGTCAGGTGACTTTTCATAGGAACAATTCTTTTTTTACACTTTTTATTGGCTTGCAGAATAGTTAAGTTATGTAATTAGGGTAGTAAATATGACTGACATAAAACTAGGTTTGGGAACAGGCAAAACTTATGCCCACAATTTAACTGGGAAAACAAGGTGGGAAGGTATTAAGAGTAACTTTCTAGTCAGAAGTATTTAGAATGCCTGCTGTGGGTATCATTTAGAAGGATGGGAGTATATAGATAGAATTCCTGGTTTATTGGCTTATGAACCCAAAGCATAAAGTAATTTAGGTGGCTTTAGCATTCTCAATCAGGATCACAAATTTAAATACCTTGAGAGGTTAGGAATGTGGCAAACTGGGGAATCGTGACCCATCTAAGAAGGCCTCTAGCTAGGCATGGTGGCATGTGAGACTACTTGGGAGACTGAGGCAGGAGGATTGTGTCATCCTAGGAATTCAAGGCAAGTTCGGATAACATGGCAAGACCCTGTTCTTTAAAAAGAGTGAGAGTCGGGTTGGGGATTTAGCTCAGTGGAAGAGTGCTTTCAGCCCTGAGTTTGTTCCTCAGCACCATGAAAAAAAAAAAAAAAAAAAAAAAAAAAGAGTAAGAGAGTCCTGGGTGCATAGGTTCATGTCTGCAGTCCTAGCTACTTAGGAGGCAGCCAGCCAGAGGGTTATTCTTCAAGGCTAGCTGGGAAATGGTTCATTGGATCCCATCTCAGCCAATAAAAGCTGGGCATGGTGACATGCGCCTGTCATCCCACTATTTGGGAAGTATAAATAGGAGGACTGAGGTCCAGGCTAGGGTGGCCTAGACATAAATGTGAGAAAACCCTATTTGAAAAATAGCTGAAGCTAAAAGGGCTGGGGGCGTGACTCAAGTGGTAGAGCGCTTGCCTTTCAAGTACAAGGTCCTGCCTTGAAACCCAGGTACCACCAAAAACAACCAACCAACCAACCAAAAAAAAAACGAAGGAAAAAGTAAGTAAGGATTCTAAAACTCAGTTTCAGCCTGTGGTTGACATTTAAGAATGCAAACCTGTGTTCCCAGTTCTCTTGCTTCTTTTTCTTTCTTTTTTTTCTAAAACCCAGGAGAAAATAAGATTATGGAGTTTGTGTTAATAAGTATTTGAGTAGAACAAGTTGTTACAGATGCCCAGTTTTAACCTTTGATCTGGATCAGTTTCCTGTAAGAAATACTTGAATACATGTTATGTTAAGCATGGACCTTTCTGTGCAGTTTAGAAGCTTGGTATTATTTTATATTCCTGCTGAAATTGATCTTTAAAAAGTTCTGTACCTGTTGGATTTGTGTCTTTGCTTATACCTGTGCTTTAGTTTTTGTGATAAGCCTATATTTAATATTGTTTTAGAGTCAGGGTCTCACTAAGAAGTCTAGGCTGCCCTTGTACTCGGGAACCTCTGGCCAAGTGCCATAGTGTATGCAGACAGCACTCTGCCTAGCTCCGTATTCAGCTTTGAATATGGTTTTCTCCTGAACCATATATACTGCAAACCTTTAATCACAACTATTTAGTTAAAAAATAAGCTGGGCATGGTGGTTCAGACCTGTAATGCTAACACTTACGAGGTTGAGGCACAAGGACTGTGAGTTCAAGGCCACCCTGGGCTAGCGAGACCCTCTCTTAAAAAAACAAAGATCCCATAAATAAATAAATGTAAATGTTTGTATTTATAAAGAATTTATGTAACATGAAAATTATGAGGCATAATAATAAAATGAATATCCAGGAACCGATCACCCAGCTGAGCAAGTGGAACATTATCAATTCCATTGATTCTGCCTGTGTTATTCCCCTTTGCTTGCCGTCTTGCTTCCTGGCTCATTTATTTGGCTGACTTATTGATGGGACACTTAAAATTAATTAATAATTTCTAAATTGCATTAGAAAAAATAAAATTGTGTGTTTGCTACTTGTTATAAATCACATTATTGCCTATTCTTCTTCTTGACTTGAGCTAAGTATGGTTACTAACAGGTTCTCAGCATGGGCCTCCTGCTCACCTTTCCTACAGCTCCGAACAAACGCTTAGTGGTAAGATTGTCCTCTGTGCCTGTGTACATTCATGAACTAGCTCCTGGTTATATGGTGATACAGCTGGTTAAAAGAGCTGACTGAGTAACATGTGACTTAGTTATAAATTTCTCTGAGTGAGAAAAAAAGCCAGTTTAGGGAACTATGAGTGTCCCTGGTGATTTCTGAATAGCAGTCTATTTATAGTTTCCCCCCTTACCATCATTAGATCATGACTCCCACGTGGTTCTTGTGTTGACCTTTTTGTTTTTTGTTTGAGAATGTCTTAAGTAATTTACAAATGTGATGAATTTGTTGCATTTCTTTGTCAAGTATGTCTTTTTTTCCAGCGTTTTGCAGGGAGGGGGGGTTTCTTTTTAAATTTTAACTGAAGTACCATTGAGGTCTCTCATAAATGCTATTTTCTCACTTTCTTTATACCCTTTTCTTTGTTTTGTCCTGCAGCTCCTGGAATGAGGCCACCCATGGGAGGCCACATGCCAATGATGCCTGGGCCTCCAATGATGAGACCTCCAGCTCGTCCCATGATGGTGCCCACTCGACCAGGAATGACCCGACCAGATAGATAAAGATAGAGGGGAGGCCTCTTTCTGTCAGTTTTATATTACTTGTTCTACTTCACCAGGAGATCATGGTGCTGTGACTCTGGGTGTTTTCCAACAGCATGACAGGCAAGACTTGCTCCCCGTTCTTATCAAGAGAATAGTTTTGGAGGGGAGAAGTGGGACAAAAAAAGCAACAGTTTTCATTTGTATTGTGAAATGTGAAAATAAAATTTGTCAGCTCTTTTAGTTAAAAGCGTGTTCCCTTTTTCTCCCCTCTGTACTCTTCGTGTATTATAAAGGAGATAAAACATTCCAGTTGTGTTCCTGCTCATTCTCTTCAGTGTGTTCTGAGTGTGAGATTCTTGTTTCTTAGTTAGAGAGTAAGTTCCTTTCCATACTCTGCCTTTGTTTAGTAAAGCTCTCGTGTAGGACTCTCAAATCTGAACACTTGTAGAATTTTTCTTTTTGGGGGAAGAGAGGGGAGGTGCTAGGGATCAAACCCAAGACTTCACCCATGCTAGGCAAGCACGCTACCACTTAACTGCATCCTCAGCCTTATAGAGCTTTTATGGTTAATATAAAATAAACAGCATAATTGGTTAATTTTCACATGTAAGTGCAAAGTTCTAGGTTTTTCATGCTGAAGTAGGGAAAAATGCTTCATGTTGCATGCATGTCAGCTAAAAATGGCAAGAATTGCCTTAGCCTCAGCTTCTTTTTCTCAGCTCCCCTTTCCTTGGCTTTAAATAGTCTGAAATCTTCTGTAGGAATTGTAAAATTATGCACATTTTTGTGGTATAGGAGGCCTTTAGAATGCTGTTACGTGAGCAAGCATCTAGAAAATAAACCATTGGCATTATTCGTGTTCAGTGCAGTGTATAAGTTACACTTTTTCACATTATAAGCAGGAGTAACAATTTTTTTTAGGAGTAAAAATTATTACAACCTCTAAAGAGGATTATTTGGCAATATGTTTCAAATTAAGATACCAATATCCTGTGACCTAGCATATCTGTGGCTAGGAATTTATTCTCCAGGAAAACAAATGATGTGTGTTACAACATCATGTATTGCTGCAAAGGTTGGAGATAGCATACACATTGCTGTTTACGATAGCGACTGCGTTATCAAGTATGATTCACCCACAAAGCTGCCTGTAATCCCAGCACTTTGGAGGTAGGAGGAGTAGGAGTTTAAGAGTAGTCTAAGCTACCTATTGATACCCTGTCTCAAACAAAGACAAAAAAAACAACCCCCAAAAGATGTTCTGTATACCGATAGGAAAAGATCTCCAAGATACACCTTCTGTACGTTGGCTTCAGATGTTTCATTCGCTGTTGTCCTTTTTGATTAGAAATTATTTGCTTGTGTATGTATAAAGGTTTATGAAGGACAGATAAGCTGTGGGTAATACTGGTGCTCAGGAAGGGTAAATCCGTGACTGGGAATAGAGGAGAGGAGAAACCCTTGTTCCCTCTGGCATCTTTGGATTTTGAGTCATTGTTAAAAATAACCACAAAAACAAAACATCCTTGCCAACTAAGGTTATTGTAGTGATGTTATGACAGAGCATGCCCTAAACCAACAACTTATAAGCTGACTGATGTAATCAGAATTACAGGGGACCTTATTTCAAAATAAAGATTCTAATTTTTTTTTTCCTGGTTCTGGGGTTTGAATATAAATAAGAGCCTTTCACTTGCTAGACAGTTGTTCTATTCCCTGAGCCATGCCCATTGCCCTTTCTGCTTTAGTTATTTTTTGGATAGGGTTTCAAGTTTTTAAAAGCCTGGGGCCAACCTCAGATTTCAATCCTCCTATATATGACTCCTGCTGGCTTGGATTGCAGGCATGTACCACCATGCCCAGACCGTGATTTTTATTTTCTTTGAAGAGTCTCCCCATGTAGTCCAGGTTGGCCTACAACTTGTAATCCTATTGCTTCAGCATCCCCAGATCCCAGGTTTTGGTTCAGTAGATCTGGAGTTGGGGACCAAGGAAATTTGCATTTTAGAAAAGCTAGATAACTGTTCTAGGATCTGTTCCTCTAAAAAAATATAACATTGTATGCCTATGGTTTTAAAAGCTAGATACTAAAATTGCAATTGGTTGCTGGGTTTTTTTGTTTTGAGACCAACGTCTCAAATTCCAGGATCTCGAAACTTGCTATGTAGCCTTGGCTGGTCTCAAACTCAAAATCTTCCTGCCTCAGCTTCCTAAGTGCTGGGATTTCAGGGTAGATTGCTTCTTAGAAACTTGCGGTTTAAAGAGGGCTAAATTAGGCAAATAATCCATTTTATCTACGTAAACACAGGATTAGAAATAGTGACCCCTGACTAAAAGAAGGTCTTCATGTTCAGCCTTGAATGTAAGCTTCCTATATCCTTGAATCAGCTTCCTAGACTTGAGACTTTGATAAGACTACTTGTTACAATAAAAAGTGTTTCCTCTCAAAAGAGTTGTTTCTCATTCAGTCACATCTGTTTAGGAAAGAATTAAATCTCATCTGATAGTTTATGTATCCTTTTTTTGGGGGTAGGTCTGGCGTCTGAACTCAGAGCTTTGCACTTGCAAAGCAGTTGTTCTACCAGTTGACCCATACTTGAGTCCATTTTGCTCTGGTTAAGTTTTTTGGAGATGCGTGTCTCATGCCTGGGATGACCTCGAACTGCAGTCTTCCCCATCTCAGCCTCTCAAGTAGCTAAGATTATAGGCATAAGTCACCAATGTCCAGCTTATGTCTTTTATAGCTCAAATTTGTGATTAAAATCTGTAGACTGCTAAGTGTGAGGGTGCACACCTATAATCCCAGCACTTGGGAGGCTGAGGTAGGAGGATTTCAAGTTCAGGCCAACCTGGACTACATAACAAGACCCTGACTCAAGAAAAAAGGAAGAAAAGGGGGTGGTATAGCTCAAGTGATGGTGGCTCAGATGGTAGAATGCTTGCACAAAGCCCTGATTTCAAACACTTGTACCCCAAAAAGAAGAAAATCTGCAGATTTAAGAGTATGCTGGGGGAAGCCTCATCAACTAAGATACCTTACTAACCTTTTTGGTATTTTGAGACAGAGTCTGTTTATGTAGGCCATACTGGCCTTGAACTCAGTGTCTTCCTGCCTCATCCTCCCAAGTGCATCATGTGCCACCCAGCCCTGCTCCAAGTGGGTTTTACATTGTGACTCAGCAAGTTTCTGGTTTGGATGTCCCTGTCAGGCTCCGGGTAAGGAGTTTGTCTTTGGAGTATGTATAGGCACCTATAGATCTCTGTTTAGATTTTATTCTTTGATTTTTTTTTTTTTTTTCCTTTTTGGTGGAACTGGAGTTTTGAATTCAGGGCTTCAAGCTTGTAAAGCAGGCGCTCTACCACTTGAGCCATACCTCCAGTCCGTCTTTTTAGATTTTAAAAATAGCCTCAAGTTAAGTTGAACTCGTGGCTTTGCTGTCTTTTCCTGTGGCCAGTTCCAGAAGTATTAGTACCACCTTTCTCCCCACTCTTCCTTGTGGATTCTGGGTCCATGCCCTGCTTCCTCTATTCCATCTGCTACTTCAGTGAGTATATCAGGAACTGAGGGAAAGGGTGGGGAAAGTGGATGTCTCACTGTAAAGCTTTCTTTTGGACCATTTGACTTACGTGTGGTATGAATCAAAGAACTTTTTAGTGTAATAAAATAACCTCAGGTATTTAAGAACAACTCATATCTTCTAAAAAAGGAAGCTTTTTCCAAAGTGTGTGCATTTGTTGTGTTTTAGAGATGAGGTCTTGCTGTGCCCAAACTGATCTCACACTCCTAGGCTCAGATGAACACCCTGCCTTTGCCTCCTTCCTGCCTTCTATGACTAGAATAGCTGTGACTATAGGTACATGCCACTGTGTCCACATTCTAAAATATGAAGTACAATGTGTGCATTTGTATAGGTGCAGACAAGAATACTACTAAATATTAAGAATTGAAGAAATTAGTGTGAATTTGGGATAAAATACTTGCTTCCTTTTCTGCGGGGAGACCCCAACGCCATGTGAGTGATTTAAAGTTCAGGCTGTCATCAGTTGCACTGCCAGAGATTTTTAGTGGTTTGTCAGAATGCTGGGCTCCTTAATTCAAGGCTGCATGAGAAATGAGCTCCTTACACAGAGCCATCATCTGTATGAAAAAGTCCACTGTTGATTAAGTGTGTGTCCCACTTACATAGCTTCAGTCAAATGGTATCTTAGGTTCCCAGTGCTATTGTCAAACAGTAGAAGAGAACATGGTCTGCCTTCTGTGTGTCTGACACAAGTGTCCTGAAGACTCTTCCAAATCTTTGCATAGGATATCCAGATTAACACTACTTAAAAATTATATTAGGTTCTTCTGATAAAAAAGGTGCACCAGCACTTTCTAACTCATTTCCAATGGGCCTTTTCTTTAGAGGGTAGTGATTAACCAAAAGATGTATCTGAATCTAGTTGATAATTAAAATCTAAGATCAAAGTAACAACAAGAGTGTCAGCCAGGAAAAGAGGTAGCAGTGGCGAGAATAGTGTCCCCACACACCACTTACCAAATGCAAAGAGAAGACCTAGACATGTCAATCAAGTGAAGGCCTGAGTGTTCCATGTTGACTGAAAAGAGGTAAAGTGTCAACACTTGAACTAGTAAATGATACCACCAGTAGACTGTGATAAGGTATGCATAGATAATATAGTAACCTAGAGAAATCACTAAATGCTATACAAAGAGATACAGTCAAAATGCAGCAGGCTGCGCACCTGTGGCTCATGCCTGTAGTCCTAGCTACTCTAGGGAAGCAGCAATCAAGAGAATTATGGTTCAAAGTCAGCCCCTGGCAAGTAATTCGAGAGACCCTATCTTGAAAAAACTCATCACAGAAAAGGGCTGGTGGAGTGGCTCAATCAGTAAGAGCACGTGCCTAGCAAGTATGAGGCCCTGAGTTCAAATCCCCATGTTGCCTAACCTCCCCCCACCAACAAAACAAAACACTGTAGGTTCCTCATGTTAAAGCTTACGACAAAGCTACACTGACCAGGCATGTGGTACTACCATAAGGATGGACACAGATGAATGAAATAGAATTAAGAGTAAAAAAACCAAACAAAGTAATATATATGGTCAACTGATTTTCATAAAGAAAATTCAATGGGGGAAAGAAGAATCTTTCCAATAAATATTGCTAGAACAGCTAGGTAAACTCGATATCTACATGAACAATTGTGAATTTGGTTCCCTTCATCACATCATATACAAACATTAGTTAAAAATGAATCATACTCCCAAATGTAAGAGCAGAAGCTATTTAACTCTTAGAAGAAAACATTATCTGTTTATTTATCCATCTGTCTTCATGTCCTTGGATTAGGCAATGATTTCTTAGATATGAAACCAAAAGCATAGCGGCAGAAGGAAAAATATAAACTGGATATCACCAAAATCTTTTGTGCTTCAAAGGGACACCATTAGGAAATTGAAGACACCTCACAAAATGGGGAAAAATTACAAATAAGGATCTAAATAAACATGAAAAGATATTCAACATCATTAGCTATCAAGGAGAACTGCATTAGCTATCAAGGTTAAGGATATTAGCAAATAGAGTTCAGTAATATATGTACTTAATTATATACCATGAGCAAATGGAGTTTGCTTCAGGAATACATGCTGGTTTAATATTTGAAAATCAACGGAATCTACCAAGTTAGGCTAAAGAAGAAAATCACATGACCATAGCACTTAATGCAGAAAAAGCAGTTGTCAAAATTTAATATTTATTCTTTTTTTAATTACACTTATTTTTATTTATTTATTTTGGTGGGACTGGGGTTTCAACTCAGAGCTTTGTGCTTTTAAAGTAGGTTCTCTACTGTTTGAGCCACACCTCCCTCAATACTTGATTAAAAAAAAAAAAAACTGAAAAAGAGAACTGTCTCAACTTGATAAAAACCATCCACAAAAAATCTATAGCTGATTTACTTATTGTTTAAAGATTGAATGAATGAATGCTTTTCTCTTAAGATTGAGAACAAGGTAACATTTGAATAAGAGTTCTCAACACTCTTAATTCAAGAAGGTGCTTGATGTTCTAGCAAAGACTGTAAGGCCAGAAAAGGAAGTAAAAGGCATACAGTCAGAAAGAAACAAGATTGTCCTCATTTAAAGATGACCTAATTGTCTATGTAGAAAATTCCAAGGAATCTACAAAACCATCCAGCTAATGGTGAGTTCAGCAAGATTGTAGGATACAAAATAAACATACAACATACTAGTAATGAACATGTGGACACATACATTAAAAATACAAAATACTATTTGCAACTTCTCTAAAGAAAAAAATATGTAGATACCAATTTTTTTTTTAAGGTCTGGGACTGGGGTTTGAACTAAGGGCTTTGTGCTTGAGCCACACCTCCAGTCTAGATATAATTTTTTTTCCAGTAGAAATAACAGTAAAGTTTATTAGGACAGGAATATGCTTTCAACAGACTGTCTCCAGAGTGAGAACAACGGGGTCGGGGGAGAGAGATATTTCCTGTCCCCGATGCAGGAAATGGGAGCAAAAGCTCCTAGATATAAATCTTAACAAAGCTTGTATAAGAAATATAAGCCAAAAAGTACATTCTGTTGATGTAAGAAATCAAATGTCAAAATACATGGATTTAGAAGACTCAGCATAGAAAATATGTTCAATCTCCCTAAATTATATACTTCGTTAAAATTCCTATCGAAATTGCAGCAAGATTTTTGCAGATATGGAATTATTCTAAAATAGAAGTAGGGAGGTAAAGGAACTAGGATAATTAAACCAAGGGGTACAAAAAAATATATAGTAGGAGAGTTCTGTCTACCTAATTTCAAGCTATTTACATAGCTATGGTAACCAAGACTGTGGTTTTGCAGAGGGACATAGATCAGTGGGTCTAGATAGAAATCTTAGAAACAGGTCTACACAATTATGTCCATCTCATTAGCTCAGTGGTAGAGCTCTAGCAACCTGCCCTCCCCACCCCTCAGAAAGATATGAATTGGCTCCAGATCCTTTTTGTCTTTATATGCCTTGTACTGTTAGAAATGCAAGGAAAGATAAACACATTAGTACTGTGGTTGAGAGCACCAACTCTCCTGTGATCCCAGAGAAGCCATATTTTTTTGTAGAGCATGACTTTTTGCATTCAACAAAAATAACTTTCACCAGGCATGATGACTCATTCAGTGAGGATGCTTTGAGCATGGGCTGGTTTTGTTTCACATAGCTAATGTCAGACGTCTAGTACTTGCTGCTGGGGTAGTCCAGGAAAAGAAACTTGAAATGCAAGAAATTGCCAAGGCCCCCACAGCTGAAGACCAAATTGGGAAGAAACAATAATGGCCAATAATCCTGGCAAGAAACATCTTCCTGTTGGTCTCTGACATGTGCTCTGGTGACAGAGGGACAAATAATGATGGAGTATGCAGTCCTGCTGGAGGGTATTGTATAGAAGAGCACTCAGGCCAAGAATGATTTTTAGGTAATTTGGAGGATTTCTGGGAAAAATAACTTAATGTGACGAATCGGTGGGCATACATGTGCATGAAGTTTGTAGGTTATTTTTTTAAATTGATTTACTATGCTAAACTATCTCCGGAATCAGGTAACAACTGTTTTGCAGGAAGGGACCTGAATGGCAGAGGGTCAAGGGAGAAAGAATTACAGTTCAGTGCTCTTGATTTTTGTATTAGGTATATACATAATATATTCACAAGAATGAATAAGTTTAAGGTTTAAAATTAGCTGGTGTCCATTTTCCTATAACGCTATCTCGAGAGTTTTTTGGTGTTTTTTTTTTTCTTTCAAGTTTTTGCTTGAAGGCTTCAGGCCACAGAACCTGCTCATCTTTGCCAGTGGGCCTACAGGTACAAGTGTCCCTGGCATATGGGTTTACACTTCTGAGGGTATGGACGAAATGGAGTGGCAATAGCACCTGGCTGGAAGTCAGAATACTTGGGCTCCAGTCCTGAGACTCAGTAGGTAGGTGACCTTGGGCAAGCTCTTTCACCTGTTTCTCTGGAATTCAGTTTCCTTACTGGAAGGTCTCTTAAGTCCGTGGTGATTTTAACAATTTGCTGTCTCACTTTCTTCTGCCCCCATTTGGGAGGGGGTGCCCCTGGAGCGCCCCTGTTAGGTCTTCAGTGCCCTTGGTGCAGAGGGCGACCCCCCTTCCCAGTGCTGCAGCACAAAGCCCTTGGGTGCCGGACACGGAGGCTTGAGCCTCTCCTACCCGCTCCAGAGGTCCTTGACGCCACTGGTCACTCCCAATCCGGTTCCTGGAGTCCGTGTGCGAGGGAAATGAATGAGACGTGGACTCGACCACTCAGGAGCTGAGCAATTATCTAACGAATCCCTGCAAAAACTTACAAATACCTTCCTTTCCCTGCTACTTCCAGGCAACTGCCGGGTGTGAACCTCCCGCAGTGGAGACGCGAAGCTTTTCCGACCGCGCTCAAAGCCGGCAGAAGGGAGGGCTGAGGGAGGTGAGCCAGCGGGCCTGCCCGCCCGCCGCTCCCCGGACCTCCCCGCCCCTCCCCGCGCGCGCCCCCGCCTTCCCCGCGCGCGCCCCCGCCTTCCCCGCGCGCGCCCCCGCCCCTCCCAGAGCGCCTCGCTGCCGCGAGCCGGGCGGGCGGCGCGCGGTCGCGGAGTCGCTGTGGACTGGCTGCTGCGGCGCCGCGCGGGCGGGTGGAATCGTGGCGGAATCCCCCGCGCCAGGGCAGGGGCGAGAGAGCGCCATGGCGGCTGCTGTGGCGGCGGCATCCGGTGTCGGCGCCGCGGCGAGGTGAGGGGCCCGCCTCTTCAGGACCGAGGAAGCCACAGCCGCTCGCCTGCTTTACACGCGGGTCGCGGCTCCGGCATGGCCGGGATCATTAAGAAGCAGATCCTGAAACACCTGTCTCGGTGAGAGCGCCAGCGCCGCCCCAGTCCGGCGGTCCCGGGCCCTTCCTGACCCACTCCGGCCTCCTCCCTCTCTCGCCAGCCCCAGCTGGGTTCCCTGGCGGGCCCCCCCTCAACTCGAGCCCGGATAGTCCCCCATGCGCTCCCGCTGGCGCCGACCGTTGTCACCACTCCGCGCCTGCCTTGCCCTGGGCCCGCGGGTCGGGGCGCTCGCGCGGGAGCCGTCAGTTCTCCCACTCCTCCAGCCCAGACCCTTTCCCGTTCGAGCCTCAAGGGCTCCTCCGGCCTGCTGCCTCCGCCCTCAGCTCCCGCACCTCGGGGCTGGTCACTCGGTCCTCTCTGACTGCCCCTCCGCGCCCCCCGCGGCGCCCACCCTTTCCGGTCGGTCCCCGCTGCCTTCCGTGCCAGTGCACGCGCTGCCCCTCCCTTGGGGACTCTCGCTGTCTCCTGACCTCCCCACCGGATGCTCCACTGCCTTCCCGGAGCCTTTATCCCTTCCGCGGTCAAACCCTGGCACCCAGTCCTGCACACCACGTCCCTCTGAGACTTCCAACTCCGACACCCGTTTTCTCCTTCCCAGAAGCTCCCAGCTCCTCTTTCTCACCCTGTTGCATCACCCTTGAAAGATGTAAGCCCTGCACACAGGCCTTGTCCTCTGAGCTCCTTTCTCCCTTCTTCTCTTCTCATTACACAGACTAATTAAGGTCATGAGAGTTGGGGATAAAGTTTCAGCAACCTTCTCTTTAAGAAAACGTGGAGGTTTTTTTGACAGCCTATGGAAAGCACCACCAACATCCACTTCTGCTTTGCAGCCTTTTGTTAAGCCCTGCTATATTGCTTGGTATTTTGGGCATGACGGGATTGGCTGGCAAAATAGTTTTCAGCTATAGCTGCATGACTCCTGGTCACTATGTGATGATTGCAGGTTGTCAGAACTGGTGGCCAAAAAATTGGAAGCTAGCTTTTCACGAATTATTCACTCTGCATCTCAGTTCTTGGGTTGGTGATGGTTGATAACATAGCCAGCCTTTGTAGCTCTGGTGATCCAGTTTGGCTCCATAATTAATGGTCAGTGGTTTTCAGAAGGGTGTGTGTGTGTGTATGGGGTTGTGTATGGAGATGCCAGTCAACATGGAACACTCAGGCCTTCACTTGATTGACATGTCTAGGTCTTCTCTTTGCATTTGGTAAGTGGTGTGTGGGGACACTATTCTCGCCACTGCTACCTCTTTTCCTGGCTGACACTCTTGTTGTTACTTTGATCTTAGATTTTAATTATCAACTAGATTCAGATACATCTTTGGTTAATCACTACCCTCTAAAGAAAAGGCCCATTGGAAATGAGTTAGAAAGTGCTGGTGCACCTTTTTTATCAGAAGAACCTAATATAATTTTTAAGTAGTGTTAATCTGGATATCCTATGCAAAGATTTGAAAGTAGGACTAAAGATGGCAGAGTGGGACAGAGAATTAACTATAACAAAACTTTATTAATTTGAATAAATACAACCTTCTAGGGCTTAGAGATGATCTCATTTCACATAATATTGTGTTTGAGTCTGTCCTTTTTTTTTTTTTTTTTGCAGTACTGGGGCTTGAACTCAAGGTCTACACCTTGAGCCACTACACCAGCACTTTTTTTGTGATGGATATTTTTGAGATAGGGCTGGCTTTGAACTGCGATCCTCCTGATCTCTGCCTCCTAAGTCGCTAGGATTACCACCAGTGTGAGCTACTCCTGGCTGTCTTTTTTTTTTTGTGGTGGAGTCTTACTATGTTGCCCAGCTTGGCCTTAAACTGTAGGTGCAGGTGATCCTTCTACAGTCTGGACTCTTTCTGATTTACTTTCTTCATCTCTGAAATAAGACTGGGCTGTCAACATAGTTTAGTGGCTTGGTGTTTGCTTATCCTGCATGAGGCCCTGGATTCAATCCCCAGTAGCACAAAAATAAATAAATAAAGATAATAATAGTATTACTGCAAAGATTATTGTAGGTGGATGTGGTGGTATATGCCTATAATCCCAGCACTTGTGAGGTTGAGGCAGGAAGATCATGAGTTCCCCGCCAGCCAGAGGCTACACTGTAAGACCCTGTCTCAAAAACCAAAACACTGTTTTGAGGGGCTAATATGTAAGGATTTAGCACAGTGCCTAGAACATAGTATGCTTAATAGAGCATAATAGAACATGAGATATATTTGTTTTTTGGGTCACAATTTGTTGGACAATTTGATACAAATAATAGGCCTTCTCTCCAAACAAATATATACATATATATATATATTTATTATTATTTTTAATACAACTTTTTTTGGGGGGAGGTATGAACCCTTAAAGCACAAGCCTGAACCCCTCAAGGCATCCTAAAGTGAGTGAATAATCTCCGATCTAGTTCAACCTCTCATTTTATGGCTCAAGAAACAAGCTTAGAGAGGAAAAGTGACTTGTCCAAGTTGCATAGGAAGGTGAGGTACTGGGACAGAACTCAGCTTTCTAATTCTGGGATACTTTCTCTGTAGCACAAATTCTGTGTGCTCTATGAATAAAATTTTAAAGAAAAAATTTAGTGGGTATACTGACACATTTGTTGAGTCCTGGGAGGGCAAAGTATTTTTTTTTAGATGAAGTAGGAATAGTAAATTAGACATTAAGGGGCATTTCTGTTTTTCTGGGTGTTGGGCTAGGGACTGAGGAGGAAGAGGAGAGGTTATATTATAGTTGCAATTTCAGGGCTCCAGGAAGAGGTGCTAGGATATAAATCTGGTTGGAAAGGCAAAACTCCTGGGGCCTTTGTGTTTGTTTAGCTTGGAAAAGCTACCTAATCATGTGTGACATTGTGTGTGTCTATCTTTTCTACCTCCCACACAGGCTGGTCTGCCTGGGGAGGAACTATAGCTCTGTGGCTTGCCAAACCTGATGGGGAAAGAGAGAAGGGAAGCTTTACAGAGTTCTTATGTTAAATATTGAAAGTGTTTGATGATGACAATGCCATTTGACCCAGAGGATGATGTCCTGCAGAGAGGATATCAAGTAACTCTTTTATAACATCTAATTTGGAGCATGAAGTTTTAAATAATAAAGTGTCTTGTTGAAATGCATCCTTTTTTTTTTTTTGGCGGTACTGGGGTTTGAACTATGGTCCTCCCGCTTGGTATGCAGGTGCTGTATGACTTCAGCCACTCTGCCAGCCCTTTTTGTATTCGGTATGTTTGAGATAGGGTCTCTGGAACTATTTGCTCAGGGCTGACTTTCAAAATGAGATCCTCATGATCTCTGCCTCCAAAGTAAATGCATCCGGCTTAAATGCATCCTTCTTGTTGGTATTTTGGTAAACAAGACTTGGGGAAATGGTGTTCAAGATATTTTCTTGCTGGGGGCATGGCTCTAGTGGTTGAATGTCTGCCTAGCAAATTCGTGGCCCTGAGTTCAAACTCCAGTACTGCCCCCTACACTTCCCCAAAAAGATATTTTCTTAACTGCCTACTCTAGGTCAGGCACTGATCTGGGCACTGGGGATGCAAAGGAAAGAAATATAAATGTCTTTTAAAGACTTTAACCCATAGTTTGGATGGCTGCTGTTCAACACACATAGCTTTAATTCAGTGTTCATTTAAATAAATCCAGGAAGAGAACTTTACTTACAAACACAAAGTAATCATTCATTTAAAAAAAAAAAAAGTCACTGCTGGTGGAGTGGCTCAAGTTATAGAGCACTTGCCTAACAAGTGTGAGGCTCTGAGTTCAAACCTTGGTACTGCCAAAAAAAAAAAAAAAAGTGAGTTCCAGGTGAGTCTGGATTATATTATGAGACCCTGTTTCAATCAATCCATCTATCAATCAATAAATGAATGAATGCCAAACTTGATTTTTCACTAAATTACATTCCTCTTTTTTTAGATCACCTTAGCTAATGACCTTTCATTTTATAAGTAAGAAGGTATATGATTGATTGTAAAGTAATTCAAGGGATTAAGGCTAATGAAAAGAGAATGGGTTTTGGAACCAGACAAGCCAGATTCACCTTCCAGGACAACCTTTCTGAGCCTCACTTTTGGGTACTTTCTTTTTTTTTTTTTTTTTGTTGGTACTGGAGTTTGAACTCAGGGCCTCACACTTAGTAGGCAGGTGCCCTACTGCTTGAGCCACTCTTTGAACTGAGCCTTACTTTTGTTATCTGTAAAAGATAAGAATAAGGAAGAATAGGAGTAAAGTATTTATTACGGTGCCTGATACGCAAGTAGGTACTTAATAAAGAGTAGCTATGTAACTAACATTGCAGGATAAGAGGGCCACTGTGTGTGCATGGATAACAGAAAGCTGACTGGCTCTTTTAGAAACCCATCAGAAGTCTTAGTTATTTACTCTGAATGACTGTAAAAAATGTGAGCCAGAGTGACAGATAGACATGGTAGATATTTAAAAAATGTAAGTATGAGGTGAAATTTAGAGGCATAGAAATTCTAGAATTCCTTTTGGAGAACAGGAGAGGTCGAATGTGATTAGTGCCTGATCAGTGCCTCTGCTCACTGTTGCTTATTGCTACAGAGCACTGAGTAGCTAGAAAGCTTAGAGGTCAATGAGGTCAGCACACAGTGGACCGCGAGAGGCTCCGCGTCACAGAGGATGACTACTTGCCCAAGTTCTCTATATATGGAGAGTTTTTTTTTGTTTTCTTTTTTTCCCTTAGTGCTGGAGTTAGAACTCAGGTCCTTCACCTAGAGCCACTCCATCAGCCCTTTTTTTGTGATGGTTTTTTTGAGATAGGGTCTCAAGAACTGATTGTCTGGGCTGGCCTCAAACTGTGATCCTCCTGATCTCTGCCTCCTGAGTAGGTAGGATTACAGGTGTGAGCCACTGGTACCCGGTTTAGATGGAGATTTGTAGGACTAGTCTCAACTTCTAGGTTATTTCCCTTTACATTACACTAGTTATTATCACCATCATTTCTCAAAAAACTATTTTGTACATTTTCTAGTAATAGTCAAATCATGTCTTTTATTTTC